CCGGGCCGGCACGCGCCGGCTGGCTGCGCCCGCGCCCTTACCAATAGCAGCTGCTGTAGACACAGGCCTCCCGCGTGGGGCAGGCCGGCTGGTAGCGCGCGGCGGTGGCACCGGTGGGGCGGGCCCCCTCCATGGCCCGGGCCAGGGGCTCTCACCGACGCCACCGGGCGGGAAAAGTAGCCAACCGGCCACTGTGGGCGCCGGTTCAAAGGGCAGAGTGGGCGGAGCCGGGGGCAGAGGAGGCAGTTTCCGGATGGCGGGACCCAAGACATGGTGGGCGGGAACTGGGCGGGGCAAGCGGCGTCCTTAGAATGGAGCGCGAGGAGCTCTTGAGGGGGCGGTGCCAGTTCCCGGGTGGTCGGAGCCTGGGCGCGGAAGATGCGTGGTTTTGCGTCGGCGGAGCACGATGATTGGAGGGGGCACGGTAGGTAGGCGGAGCCTGCGGCGGGCCGCGTGAAGGGTTGGGGCGGAGTCGGGGCGGAGTCGGGGCGGGGCCATCGTGACGAGAGAATAACTGCGGGTCTGTGGCCTGCGTCTGGCAGGAATTGGGGTGAGGCCTGAGTGCCTCACCCAAAGGCGCTACTGCATGATCCCCTCCCACCCCGGTATGGAGAAATCAAATGAGACACTAAAATAAAATAAGCTGTGGGCTGAAAACGAAGCGTTAGCACTCAGCCTGAAGTCTGCGGGAGCCCGGGAAAGGAGAGAGGAAGAGATTCCTAAGTCCAAGTGGAAACGCCACAGGGATCGCACTCCCAGTCTCGCCTTCTTTTAACTTTTTTAAAATTTGGAGTTCTGTACGGACTGGGTCGGAAAGGTCTGCTGAACTCTTGATACAGTGAGAAAACAAAGTTTTAAAAGTTTTCTGTGAATCATTTCTTTGCTGGCATTCTGAACTGGAATACATGATACTGAGAACTTTGACATGACACTTCATAACCTGCCCGTTATAAAAACTAAAATTCTTCAGTTGTCTTATAAGCCACCCACAGTGCAGCTTCTCCAGCCTCACGAATCCTCAATCCCATAAATTCTAAAGGATCACTATGTCCAAATACACTCTGGTCAAGGGAGTCTGAACTCGTTTCTGGTTTGTCCTTCCTTAGGTACTCTTCCTCAGCCTTTGGATATGTTATAGTTATCCTTATGTCATGGTCAATTTTTTTTTAATTTTTGGCAGTACCAAGGTACCAGGGCTCTAGGACCTCCGCTTGCTAGGCAGGTGCTCTACCACTGAACCACAACTCCAGCCCATTTTTGATAGAAGGATTCACTTCCTACCTAGGTACATACATGGATTTTGATCCTTTTTTTTTAAGCTTCTCATTGTAAATAAGAATCTCGTACCACAGTGTGGTACTGGCTGGTTATGGTAAGTCTTTATATATATTTTTTTTTGGGGGGGGGTCTGGTCATGGGGCCTGCACTCTGGGCCTGGGTGCTGTCTCTTAGCTCTTCAGCTCAAGGCTAAGCGCTCTACCACTTGAGCCACAGTGCTACTTCCGGCTTTTTTTTTCTGCTTATGTGGTGCTGAGGAATCGAACCCATGGCCTCATGCATGCAAGGCAAGCACTCTACCACTGAGCCAACTTCCCAGCCCATAAGTCTTTATATTTAACTTCATCTGTTTAATCTAACGTGGTTTCTTGTCTCATGGTTGGCCTCAAGCTACTATAGGACTTGGAGGCCAGACTAAGTAGACCCTACCACTTACTAGCTGTATGGCCTTGGGAAGAATTACTTCACACTTTTGTGCCTCAGTTTCATCTATAAAATGAATCTAATGATCCTACTACCTACCTCACTAGGATTGCTACAAGAGATGAATTTGTATATTTAAAGCACTGAAAATAAGTGCTGGCACATAATAACATTAGCTATCATGATTTCTGATATAATCCTCTTACAGAGGCTGGAAAACAGACATTGCCTGATGACTACACTTAAAATAATGGTTCTCAGTTCCTTAGTACTCAGTCATGGGTCTTGAACTCTGGGCCTGGGTGCTGTCCCTCAGCTCTTCAGCTCAAGGCTAGCGCTCTACCACTTGAGCCATAGGCCATTTCCAGTTTTCTGGTGGTTAATTGGAGATAAGAGTCTCATGGACTTTCTTCCCAAGGCTGGCTTTGAACCACAATCCTCAGATCTTAACCTCCTGAGTAACATGGATTACAGGCATGAGTCACCAGCACCTGGCTTCTAAGCAATTTTTTTTGGGGGGTCCAGTTGTGAGGCCTAAACTCTGGGCCTGGACGCTGTCCCTCAGCTCTTCAGCTCAAGGTTAGCACTCTACCACTTGAGCTACAGCACCACTTCCAGCTTTTTTTTCTGCTTATGTGGTGCTGAGGAATTGAACCCAGGGCCTCATGCATGCAAGGCAAGCGCTCTACCACTGAGCCACCTTCCCAGCCCCAAAGCAATTTTTAATAAATGATGTAAGAAACAAATGTCAAAGGACTCTATCATTAGGGTTGGCAAGCACCAATAGTAAATTCTCCTGACAGTATTTATCTTTCTTAGGCAGGGATTTTTTGTTAATAATTTTATTGCTATTACTAAGGTGTTGTACAGAGGGGCTACCATTTCACACAGGTTAATGCATACAGTTCTCTTTTGAATAATGTCACCCCTTCCTTGGCTTTCCCCCAGTTTCGCCCTCCCATCCCTGTTGGGCAAGCATTTTAATAGGAGGCTAAGATCATCCTAGATCATCCATCTTTTTAGCCTTATGCTCCTAAAAGCCATATTAGTTAGTCAAGTCCCTTAAGACAGAGGTTTCACTAAATTTCAAGAGTTCTCAGTAAGCCATGAAATCGACAACTGCTTAGTTTTGCAAGGATCATTTTCATTATATAGCTCTGTGAGCAGAATACAGACATTATGACGGCATAACTCTTTCTTGAATGAATTGGGGGGAGGGTTAGGACCCAGATGAGATTGCTATAACAAAGAAACAAAACAATTAGTGATATAAATGAAATATGAATGTATTAATAGCCTGAGCATAAACATCAGTGCTTATATGGTGTCTTTACAATGCCAGCCTCCTAGTATTTCATAGTAAGGCCATATTGAATCTTGCTCTGGTTGGCATGGTTGAAGATAGCTCACCACCATGTCTGCTGTGTTTGCATTCTGGCCAGCAAGACCTGGAGAGAAAGAAAAGGGGGAGGTTTAATAGCAATTTCTGCAAGTCTTTCACATCACTTCTATTCACATTCCACTGACCAAATGATTCTGACAAGGTCCCTCTCAGGTTAGGAAGAATGGAAAACATAGGGCTTTTTATTTATTTTTTTCTAGGAAGTTTAGCTAATTTGAGTCTCAAGGGGAAAAAAGGGAGAATGAATGTTGAGAAAGCCAGCAATGTCTACCATACTGTACTTTCTTTATGCTTCTAAACTTTCTCTTATAAGCAGTAGTTATTTTTAAAATTGGAAAAAATAGGTCATAAAAAAATACATGTAATTCTATACTAGAGGCTATAAAAGGAGATAGCTTCAGGGGAGTAGGAGGAGTCTAGGACCCGATTCTGAATCAGGCCTGGTGGTGCTCACCTGTTATCCCAGCACTAGGGAGGACGAGGCAGAAGATCAGGTCTTACCAGCTTGAGCTACTTAAGAAGACCCAATATCAAACAAATAAATCAGACTGTGACCTATAAATGCCAATGATCTGGATTAGGGAGAAACAAGAGATCCGCTTGAAAAAGTCAAGATTCAATGAAATTAGGGTGTTAAAGAGCAGGTATTTAGAGGAAAATCATTTAACAAAGGTGAGTGTAGAAAAGGCCACAGACTTCTAAGGAAAGATACAGGAACTCTATAGTATCTAATACACGGAAGTTTAAAAGAGAAAAAAAAAACTTTTTTTTTTAAATTGAAGGAGTAGTTTTTATTTACTTGTGTGTGCATGTTGTGTTTATCTTGCACTTTTTTTCCTTTTGCTGGAATGACAGGCACAGGTCACTACACCCAGCCATTGGCTAAAATGGAATCTCTAGAATTTTTATGCCTGTATAGTCCTTGAACCGTGATCCCTCTATCTCCGCCTTCCAAGTAGCTAGGTTTACAGGCTTAAGCCATCATATCCAGCTGTATATAAATATTGGTCCACACCTAGATAAACCCACTTGAGGCTGGAGTCACCAAAATTTTTGAAGATTTTCTAAGTTTTTTTTTTGTCAGTTGTGGGGCTTGAACTCTAGGCCTGGGCACCGTCCCTGAGCTCTCCAGCTCAAGGTTAGCGCTCTACCACCTGAGCCATAGTGCCACTTCCGGCTTTTTCTGCTTATGTGGTGCTGAGGAATCGAACCCAGGGCCTCATGCATGCAAGGCAAGCATTCTACCACTGAGCCACCTTCCCAACCCTTTCTAAGTCTTAATGCATGCTGCAATGTTGTTTTCAAGAAATGTACCCATCACTCAATTCGGCATTAAAGATTTTTATTTAAAAACGAACAAAAAAATAGGCAGGACATAATAACTAGTACTCTCAAATTCCCATGGTGATTTTAATTTGAATTTATTTTACTACTATTTCCTCATGTTAAAGAGATGATTTCCAAGCCAGGCATTATGATTCACACTTGTGATCTTAGGAGGTGTAGATCAAGAGGATTGTGGTTCCAGGACAAGCATGCCAAAATGTTTAGGTGACTCTATCTAAATCAATAAAAATAAAATGGCATAGTGGTGCCTTGTCTGTCATCCCGGCTACTCCAAGAGGTGTAAGAGGAAGATCATGATCCAAGCTAACCCAGGGAACAACATTCAGGACAGTAGAGGAGGTGAACACTTTATTCACTAGAAAAGTACCTTGCTCAAAGGTCTTTTTGGCTATTCTGTTTGTCCATTGTGTGTTGTCTTCATTACTGGTCCACTCTCTTCTTCTTCTGTTCCTGTGGCTCTGAGTCTAAAATTCTTATACCTGGAGCTGTTCTCTGATTGGTTGCTTCTATTACAATTAGGTGTTTATTGATCAGATCCTACAGTATTCTGATTGGTTGGCTAGGGATAGGGAGAGGTAAGATGTTCCGAAACAATGTCTTTTGTTTTCATTATTTTTTATTTTTATTTATTTTTTGTCGGTCCTGGGGCTTGAACTCTGGGCCTGGGTGCTGTCTCTGGGCTCTTCAGCTCCAGGTGAGCTCCCTACTGCTTGAGCCACAGCGCCACTTCCACTTCAGAGGGAGGACATTCTTTGGATTACAAATGTGTCCTTAGTTGTTAAGCTCCCGGAAAGTCTTGCTTCTCATAGATAATTGGCTCTTGATTTCCCCTGACTGTTTCCTCAGATGGTTTGCTTTGCTTATATTTAACATCTTTAGTAGGTTTAAGTTTCCTCATCTGGTTTTCTTTGCTTATGTGTAACATTTTGTTAGGAGAAATTCCTCATACCTTATGTGATTCAGGCCTACAAAAGCTCTGTGTTAGCTGCATTTGTGGCTGCTGTTCTTTGAGACAAGAAAGAGTCCACCAGCAGTCCATTGGCTCTCCCATAAAGTCTCCCAATTCAGCCTCTTAAGTGGTGGATTCTCTGTTTCTTGTAAATGAGTTTCCTTATAACACTTCAAGAGGCAATAAATGTCCCAGATGACTGAGCCAAAATCACAGGTCTGAACTCTATTTGTCAGATTACCAGTAAAACAAAATGCTTTTGAAGGACTTCTAGAGGCTAAGCCCTACATAACAGAAATCCACCCCAAAAGACAATCACCCAGCTGGGCACAGGTGGCTCATACCTGTAATCCTAGCTACTTAGGAGGCAGAGACCTGGAGGATCACAATTCAAAATGAGCCTTGACAGAATAGTCTTTAAGACTCGATTACAAATGACCAGCAAATATCTGACTGGAGATGTGGTTCAAGTGAGAAAGCTGAATAAGAGCGCAATGCCCTGGGTTCAACCTCCAATACCGGCACAACAAAAATAAACAAATAAAAAGAAAGTCTCCCAGATAGGAAGGGTTTCTGAACAAGTGCAGATTTGGAGAAGGAGGTCACTAGTTGGATGATTGCCTAGTTTATGGAGGCCCTAAGTTCAATTCCCAGCACTATTTTTTTTTAAAAAGAAACAGAAAAACCTGAAAAAAGTACAAAAACAAAATGAAGATACTTTCCCTTATTTTTGAAGTAAGTAAATTCAAGTTGACTAAAAATGGCAAATATTAACTACGACCTCTTCTACCTCCTTGAGGCTAGTGATTTTTCCTCTTTGTGAAAAATCAATTTGGTTAGCCATCAGATTTAGCTAGGGTCACATTTACAACCTCTGAGAGAAATTCCTGTTCAAATTAATGTTTACTTTCTAACATTGCTACCAAGAGCAGAAAGGGGCCTACCTATGACCTCATCCCAAGTGAGGTAATAGAGTTATGATTAGCTCTTAGCTCAGCCTCATTTCTATCCCACATGAAGTAAGAACACCAGGATCTTTTCTGAATCAGTCAGGGCAAAAGCCTTTGTTTCTAGTGCTTCTTCTTGTCCTAAATGTCATTCTCATTCTGAATGACTGAGTCTAGAAAAAGGCCAATACTATACCAATTGTGTTCTTTGCTTAAGATTATCATACAAATTTCCACAAACTGGCTGGTGTGAAAAGGAAAACAATTTTTGCCTCTCACAGTTCAGTGGGCCAGACTGGTTCCTTCTGGTGTCTTTGAGGAAGAGTCTACTTTATACCTCTGTCCTAACTTCTGGTGGTGGTAACATTGGTGATATTTCGTGGCACATGAACACATGACTTCAATATCTGCCTCTGTCTTCATTGCCTTCATTGCCTTCTCTCCCCTATCCCTGCTCTGTGCTGGCTCCGAGGCTTGAACTTTGGACATCATGCTCTTGCTTGGCTTTTTTACTCATTGCTGGCACTCTACCACTTGAGCCATACCTTCAGTTCCAGATGTTTGCTGGGTAGTTGGAGATGAGTTTCTGGGATTTTTATGTCCAGGCTGACTTCACACACTGAAACTCTCAGATCTCAGCCTCCAGAATAGCTAAGATGACAGGTGTGACCATCTGTGGCCAACTACTATATGTCTGTGTATGTAAAATTTCTCACCTTTCTCTATAAGAACAGCAGGCATTGGATTTAAGGCTTATTCTAAACCAGGATAGTCTCATCTCAAAATCTTGCATCTGCAGACTCCTTTTTCAAATCAGATCACATTCACAGGTACTGTGATTATACTTGGATATATCTTTTGGGCAGACAGAATTCAACCAAAGGCTGAAGCCAGTATGGTATACACATACAGATATAGAGCTAGAAATGTATATAAGTATCTAGATATTTCTCAGAAAGAGAGAGACAGAGAGAGAGAGAGACAGAGACAGAGAGAGAATATCTCTATTTACTTTTTTTTTGTTTTATCTGTCATGGGGCCTGAACTCTGGGTCTGGGTGCTATCCCCCAGCTCTTCAGCTCAAGGCTAGCGCTCTACCACTTTAGCTACAGCGTCACCTCCGTTTTTCTGGTGATTTATTGGAGATAAGAGTTTCATGGACTTTCCTGTCCATGCTGGCTTTGAACTGTGATCCTCAGATGTCAGCCTCCTGAGTAGCTAGGATTACAGGTGTGAGCCAGCAGTGCCTGGTGCCCAGCTCCCTCACATTCTTGAGTAGCTAGGATTGCAGATGAGAGCCCCTGGCACCCAGCTAAACATTTTTTTCTTTTTTTAATTTTAATTTTTTGTCAGTCCTGGGGTTTGAACTCAGGGCCTGGGCACTGTCTCTGAGCTTCTTTTTTGCTCAAGGCTAGCACTCTATCACTCGATCCACCACTTCAGGCTTTTTCTGTTTATGTGTTACTGAGGAATCAAACCCAGGGCTTCATGAATGCTAGGCAAACACTCTACCACTAAGCCACATTCCCAGTTCCTAAACACTATTTTCAAACAAACTTATTTGCTGTAGTTAGCATATTGACATTCTCTTTCCACTAGGATTAAGTTCCATGAAATAATTTTTGTTCTTTTTAATTTTGCTGCTTAGAATTAAACAGCACCCCAAGGCTTAGAATAATACCTAGCCCATGATAGATGCTCAATAAATATTTAACACATGTTGAATTAATAAACTATACTTTGCCCAAATCAATAAATAGCTTTTGTTTCTGCTTGCCTAGGCTTCTTCTCCTGTTCTGATCTTTTGGCATGTTCTTGTCTATTTCATTCCAGTCTAGGAGCCCCTGTCATCTAGTACTCAGCATGTGCAGGCACAGTAATGAAATATAATAAATATTATTTCTGAGCTGAGGAAATTGGGATTTAATCAGGTGCATGATTCGTTCTGATCTGGGTGATCAGAAACTGCGGCAGTAACTATTGTGAGCTTTTTTTTCCGGTCGGTCCTGGGACCTGACCTGAACTCTGGACCTGGGCACTGTTCCTCAGCTCTTGGGCTCAAGGTTAGCGCCCTACCACTTATGCCACGGCGTCCCTTCCAGCTTTTATCCTGCTTATGTGGTGCTGAGGAATCGAACCCAGGGCCTCATGCATGTGAGGCAAGCGCTCTACCACTGAGCCACCTTCCCAGCCCTATTGTGTGCTTTTTAGGCTCCCTTCAAGCTCACTTTGTTTTCGTGGGTTTTTGTTGTTGTTTGTTTGCCAGTCCCGGGGCTTGAACTCTGGGCTTGGGCTCTGTTCCTGAGCTGCTTCTGCCCTCACAGCTGTTGGTTTTCAGTTGGGTAATTGGAGATCAGCGTCTGCAGGGCAGTCCTCATAGCTCAGCCTTCCACTTGGATGACAGGCGCGAACCACCAGCGCTCGGCATTTTGTTTCCTTTCTTCCTGTAAGTAGGCTAGTTTCAGTTAAGCCACGAAAACAAAACAAAACAAACCCTTTTAAGGCGCAAAGCCGAAGAGTAAGTGCTTTATTTCCCTAGAGTCAAGGACCAGGCATTTTGTATTTGAATTTGATGGCGCGAAACTGCACGCAGGTGCCCGAAGGGACCGGGAAGAGCCGCCAGCCAATCGGAGCGGGCTAATCGTTCTCTCTCTTCGTCCCGCCTCCTCCCATGCCCCGCCCTCCGCGTCCACGCGCCAAAATTCCAAACAGAACTCACCGCTCCCGCCATCTCCGTCCGCTGAGTGAAGCGAGCCGGAACTATATCAGGAAAAAGAAATCGACCTTCTTCACCCAAGAGCTGCTCAGTTCGTTGACTCTGTCAGCGTGCTTGTGTTCCGGTCCATTTCGGCAGGGTCTCTTTTGCCCTTCAGATCTGAAGAGAGTTTTGACCCTGTCGGTCTGAAGTGTGGGGCGGGAAGGAGTGGGGGGGGAGTGGGCGGGACCTGCGGCGGAGGGATTCCAGACGCGCACGCCGAGACCGCCGGCGCGGGGCTTGTGGCGCCAGAATTTGGAGCGCGGAAGCGCCGGAGTCACTGGTGTTCCAGCTCTCGGGTCGCGGCCGTCAGAACCTGCAGCCCGGGACCATGGTGGTTCTCCGCAGCAGCCTGGAGCTGCACAGCCATTCGGCCTCCTCGGCCACGGACTCCCTAGACCTGTCCAGCGAGTTCCTCAGCCTGGAGCTTAGCGGACGAAGGCGGCTCCGCTCGGCCAGCGCCGCGGAGAAATCCGCCGTCACCGCCGCCGCCGCCGCCGCGGGCGTGAGTACCGGCCCGGGGCGGCGACCCTGTGGCGGGGACCCCGGGGCGGAGGCTCTGGGGACCGTGGGACGGGGGCCGTGGGGCCGGGGACTGAGTGCGTGCGGCGCAGGTGCGGGGAGGAGTTGGGTCGGGGCCGGGCGGGTAAGATGGAGGGTTCCTGCGGTCCCGGCTGCGCGGGGTGTGGGCCGGCGGCGGCGGCGGCGGTCAGTCTGGCCCGAGAGGCCTGAGTACTTGGTCACCTCCTACTTTTTTCCTACGCAAGAGGAAGAAGCCGAAGCCCGCCAGCGCTCAAGTGCGGTGTGGGGCCGAGGTGTGGATGTTTGGGCTGCTCTGCCGCCCCCCCTCCCCCGGCTCCGGGGCGCGGGCCTTGGGCTCGCCTGGGTCCGTGAGATGCCACCCGCGTTTGCTGACTGCGTTCTCTGCGTTTGAGGGACCACGGGGACTGAGGGTAGAACTTCCCACGTACGCGATCCAAAAGGGGTTCCGTAACGAGAGCGCGGCGCCTGTTACCAGGTTGCATAATGTGTCAGGAAGAGGATCAACATTTCCTGAACACTCCCTTCTTTAAGGCTTGGTAGTAAGCCTTTGAGAATGCGTCCTGGTGGTGTCTGTGAGACAGACTGTAAAAGGTAACCGGTACGTGGTAGATCTAAAATTGGCACTTCGATCGCTGTCTTCCCCGGGTCTTGCTTTTTCTGTTAGATCACCCACCCTACAGTGACAGTGTCTCTAGAGGAAGTTTGCAAAGGGGTAGAGTCCTCCGGAAAGAAATGCTTCGATCAGCTCTCTCCTACGGGTGGGATTTTCCATGCACACAGCTAACCACCGAGGGAGAAAGACTCCCCATCTACCTACTACCCACAGCCTCACTGCTGAAAGACCTACATGCTGTTTGGACACAGCGTTCAGAAATGTAGAGCCAGTGACTCATGCTTGTAATCCTTGCTGCTCAGGAAGCTAAAGTCTGAAGATCATGGTTCAAAACCAGCCTGAGCAGGAAAGACAGCGAGACTCTTATCTCCATTTAACCACCACAAAACCTGAAGTGGTAGAGCACCAACCTTGAGTGAAAACCCTAAGTTCAGGCCCCTTGTACTGGTATGAAAACACAAAACTCAACAAATGTTGGGGAAGTTAACACTAAAGCTAAAGCAGCAGATAGTATGGTCTAGTTGAAGTGAAGGTAGGTGTGGGGGTAAGGAAATTGAATTGGAGAGAGGATTAGGAACTTGAAAATTGAATGAGAGGCTAAGGGAGGCATCTGGTGACATAGCTTAGACAGTTTCAGTCTTTTTTTTTTTTTGGTTGGTCATGGGACTTGAACTCTGGGCCTGGGCTCTGTCCTTCAGCTCAAAGCCAGTGCTCTACCACTTGAGCCACAGTGCCACTTCCAAGTCTTTTTTTTTTTGGTCCGTCATGGGGCTTGAACTCTGGGCCTGGGCACTGTCCCTCAGCTCTTCAGCTCAAGGCAAGCGCTCTTGAGTTGAGCCACCGCGCCACTTCCGATTTTCTGTGGTTTATTGGAGTTAAGAGTTGGACAGACTTTCCTTCCTGGGCTAGCTTTGAATTGTGATTCTCAGATTTCAACCTCCTGAGTGGCTAGGATTACAGGTGTGAGCCATCAGCATCTGGCTCAGAGGTTTTTATTGAGGTCTTTTATAAAGATCTCCATCCAAAGTTAGTTTCTCGTGTAGGTGCCCTGTGTTGGGATACCTACAGGGAAAATGAGTAAAACTATAATACTTTTGATCTTTGAAATTGTGGCTCTGAATTAAAATGATAGCTAATGTTCTCACTTTTTGTCTATCTGATCACTTGACTGACTGTTAACCTGTGTTCAAAAAAAATTAAATCCAGGCTGGGAAGTTGGCTCAGTGGTAGAGTGCCTTGCATGCATGAGGCCCTGGGTTCGATTCCTCAGCACCACATAAGCAGAAAAAGCCGGAAGTGGCGCTGTAGCTCAAGTGGTAGAGTGCTAGCTAACCTTGAGCTGAAGAGTTGAGAGACAGCACCCAGGCCCAGAGTTCAGGCCCCACAACTGGCAAAAACAAAACAAAAAAATTAAATCCAATAATTTATTGAATGCTATTTTCGGGATGATGCTAGTTCATGTCATAATGATATATTGTGTAATGAACTTAACCATCATTCAATATGTCATTGTGGGTGTATAAATTTTCCATCTTTAATGTTTTTCAGAGTTTATTGATACTTCAGAATTTCCTTGTTGGCACTTCTATACTGAGAACTCTCAAAAACCTTTATTTTTCTCTATTCACTGTTAAGGAGAACCTTTTGGGTTTTTTATTTTGCTGCTTAGTGCTTATTTAGCAAGGATGCACTTCAGCCACTCAATGCAAATCAATGATTCTTTCAAGCCACTTAAAAGAATAGTAACTTACAGGTTTCTAAGGAATCTTTTTTTCTCACTTAATGCCATCGCCCTTTCTTCTTTCCTGTGGAAACAAATCTTTGTTATCCCCTGGAATATTTACTTTCTGATTATAGCAGAACAGACATAACATTTGCTATCTTAAGTACAGTTCTGTAGCATTAACATTGTTCCGTAACCATCTTGCTGTCCATTTCCAGAACTTCTGTAATCTTCTAAAACATTGAACAATGACTCCCAGTTCTCCTCCAGATCTTGGCAAATACTATTGTACTTTATTTCTCTGCATTTGGTTACTCCAGTAATCTCTTGTAGGAAGTCTTGTGATGTTTGTCTTTTTGTGACTTAATTCAATGTTTCCAAACGTTGATGATGTAGCCTGTGTTTTTGTTTTGTTTTTTTTGACAGTCTTGGCGCTTGAATTTGGGGCCTTGGCACTGTCCCTGAGCTGCTTTTGCTCACTCTACCAATTGAGCCACAGCACCCCTTCTGGCTTTTTTTGTTTATGTGGTACTGAGGAATTGAACCCAGGGCTTCATGCATGCTAGGCAAGCACTCTACCACTAAGCCACATTCCCAGCCCTAAAATTTTTATTTTATTATATGTACTACATTTTGTATATTTTGTTATTAGGCACTAGGTTTGTGAGACTCTGGCTATTGGGAATAGTATTGTGCTATCAGTTTGAGTTCCTGCTTTCTCTTCTTTGGGTATATATCCTACAAGTGGTATCATAAGAAGCAGGGTTATATAATAAATCTGTTTAATTTATTGAGGGATCACTATACTGTGTATCTGTGTGTGTATGTCTGTGTCCATGTGCCTGGGTACTGTATCTCGGCACTGTCCTTGAGATTTTTTGCTCAAGGCTAGTGCTCTACCACTTGAGCCACAGTTGCACAGTTAATTGGAGATAGAATCTCACACTTTCCTATATGATCTGGCTTTGACCAGTGATCCTCAGATCTCAGCCTCCTGAGTAGTTAGGATTACAAGCATGAGCTTCTGGCGTCTGGCCACCATACTGTTCAATCTCCACATTCTGATTAACACTCATTCCCTTCCTACCCTCTGTGTGTCCTTCCCTCCCTGCCTTACTTGGGGTGGGGGCAGTATTGTATTGGGTCCTACTTGCTAAGCAGGTACTGTACTGCTGAGCCACACTTGCAGTTCTTTTTGCTCTGGTTCTTTTTTGAGCTAGTGGCTTCATGCCTAGATGACTAGACTACAGTCCTATTTTTTTTTTTTTTTTAATTCCCTTAGAAGCTGATGACAGTTATGCCCAATATATATACCCAGGCTCTTTTTCTTTTTTCTTTTTGTTGGTCATGGGGCTTGAACTCTGGGCTTGAGCACTGTCCCTCAGCTTTTCAGCTCAAGATTGGCGCTCTACCACTTGAGCTACAGCACCACTTCTGGTTTTTTGGTAGTTTAGTGGAGATGAGTTTCACGGACTTTCCTGCCCAGGCTGGCTTTGAACTGCGATCCTCAGATCTCAGCATCCTGAGTAGCTAGGATTACAGTTGTGAGCCACCAGCACTGGACAAAGCTCTTTTGTTGAGATGAAGTCTCACAGACTTTAGCCCAGGCTAGTCTGGAACTGTGATGTGTCCAGCCTCAATCCCCCATGTAGCTAGGATGATCAACTCAAGCACCATGCCAGCTCTCCATTGAGAATGTATATTGTGAATGTGTCTTTCCTGTTCATTCTGGTCTTGAACCCTGTATTTTCCTTTATCTCAGCTTTGGTTATAGGCATGAATATCAATGTAGCTTCAATTTCTTTTCTTTTTTTTTTGGTCGGTCATGGGGCTTGAACTAGGCTTGGGCTTTGTCCCTGCGCTCTTCAGCTCAAGGCGAGAGCTCTATTGCTTGAGCCACAGCGCCACTTCCCATTTTCTAGTGGTTTATTGGAGATGAAAGTCTCACGGACTTTCCTTCCCAGGCAGGCTTTGAACCGTGATCCTCAGCTATCAGCCTCCTGAGTAGCTAGGATTACAGATGTGAACTACCAGTGCCTGATCTTTTTCTCTTACATTTTCAGGCTACTTTTAGTATATCTTGATGTAAAAAGTTTTTTTTTTTTTTTTTCGGTCGTGGGGCTTGAACTCTGGGCCTGGGCACTGTCCCTCAGCTCTTCAGCTCAAGGCGAGCGCTCTACCACTTGAGCTACAGCGCCACTTCCGGTTTTCTGGTGGTTTATTGGAGATAGGAGTCTCACAGTCTCTCCTGCCCGGGCTGGCTTTGAACCGTGATCCTCAGATCTCAGCCTCCTGAGTAGCTAGGATTACAGGCGTGAGCCACCAGCGCCCGGCTTGATGTAAAAAGTTTTTATGCTTGAAAGTCATTATCAGCGATCCTTCCATATTTTAAAACAATTTGAAACATTTTTTCCACTTTGATTACAGACAGTAGGAAACAAAAAAAATCTATATTATATGTTATTTTAATGAATTACAATGGCAAAAGCATCTATTTCATTAAAGTGACTAAACATGGGAAGTAAAATTTTATTAGGTCTTATATTGCAGCCCCCTCCACTCAGGTAGTGTTTTCAACATTAACACTGAGAAACATTGTTAATATAAAAATGAGATGGTACTGAAAGAAATTTTATTAGTGCCACTCAGAAGTCAGAAATCATTTGCTGAAAATTATTTCTCATAGTCTCAGTTCTCCTTTCAACTTTTCACTAGTGAAATGACTTGCCACATTGCTTGGTCATTCAGTTTCCACATTCATAATTTTCTCTAGCTTTTTTTGTTGTACTTACTAAGGTTTGAACTCATGCCTTGTACTTCTTCCACAGACCCTCTACTAATCTTTGTTTGTGTGAAGGTTTTTTTTTCCTTTTTTTTTTTGTCGGTCTTGGGGCTTGAACTCTGGGCCTGGGTGCTGTCCCTGTGCTCCTCAACTCAAAGCGAGTGCTCTACTGCTTGAGCCACAGCGCCACTTTGGTTTTCTAGTGGTTTATTGGAGATAAGAGTCTCATGGACTTTCCTTCCTGGGCTGGCTTTGAACTGTGATCCTCAGATCTCAGCCTCTTGAGTAGCTAGGATTACAGGGTGAGCACCAGCAACCAATGTAAATGAAAAAGAACATGTGAAAGTTGAGAGTCTGAGAAATACAGAACATTGGTATAAGATACAGGAATTTATTTTTAAAAATAATATATATTGGTCAGGTGCTGGTAGCTCGCACCTATCCTAGCTACTCAAGAGGCTAAGTTTTGAGGATCAGAGAAATTGGAGTGACTTTTGCCTCCAATTAACAAAGCTGGAACTGGGGGGCATGGCTCAAGTGGTTGAGTTCTAGCCTTGAAATCAAAGTTAAGCAAGAGGCGAGGCCCTGGTACATGTATAAAAGAGATGAAATTATATGATATTTTATGAAATGCCTAGCTAAATTTTAGACAAATCCTCTTGGTATAAGTAACCTTATTTTTCTTGTGAACTAATCCATTATTTTGCCCCAAAGTGAAGCAGATTGAGTAAAAGCCAGCCTAATGCTAGGTTAGTGGGCTATCAGATAAAAAGCTTTACTCTATACTATAATTATAGTTATTTCATAGACATTATTGGTATTTGTGTGTCATGAAATATTTTAGATATCAACTTTCTTGGGGAAATGCAAGATGGTCTGTATTAAAGTACTTGTTATTAACTGAAAATCAGGAAACTCTTAGAGGGAGTTAGAATTGAGGGGTTTTAGCTAAAGAAAAACTTATATGTCTTTCTTAATTTTTCTTAAAGGATGGGTCTTCAGTTAAGGAAGTTGAAACCTACCACCAGACTCGTTCTTTGAGGTCTTTGAGAAAAAATGCACCGACTTCTTCAGATTCTAGTTTCGATAAAAATATGGAACTGTTGGAGAAGCATACCAATGGCAGGCATTTTACAAGGTAATGCTAACTCAGAATTAAGAGTTTATATTTAATTTTTGCATTTAAGTTTTAATCTATTTTTCACTGATTATCAAGATTCTAATATTGTAAATTTTTAATTTATTTGAAATAAAATTGCCATTTCTGTAAGTGGTATTGAATTATATATACAATCATGTTCTTATTTTCTTGTTCAAAAATAGTATTTCTAATATATGTGAGTAGTGCTGAAAAGATTGAAGCAGTATCCATTCTTCGAAAAGAAACTTTTGAGGTCTGCAACTTACTTGAAATAATGTGGTTCTACTTCATTGCTTATACAAAGTCTTTGTTCACAACAGTAATTCTATTTGATTTCTTGATATCACATTCCTTTTGTTAATTCTGAATCATTTGTGAATTTCTTTGTTGTTGTTGTTGTTGGTCATGGTGCTTGAACCCTGAGACTGGGCAATGTCCCTCAGCTCAAGGCTAGCGCTCTACAACTTGAGCCACAGCGCCACTTCTGGCTTTTTTTCTTTTTGCTTATGTGGTACTGAGGAATCGAACCCAGGGCCTCATGCATGCAAGGCAAGCGCTCTACCACTGAGCCACCTTCCTAGCCCCTCTAAATTAGTCCAATGGGACTAGGTACTTTGTACACATTTAAATTGCTTTTCTCTAGAACTCTAAGGTAGATTGATGTTGTAAAGAATCAATATTAGCAGGTTAAGTAATTTGCTTGCCTTCATGGAACTGGAGTTTGTTTAACAACCCTCATTTTGGTGCATTAACATGAATGTGGATGATACCCTAATTAGAGTAAAATTTGATGCAATACTTATTTTACATTGTCTTCTCATTAGTAAATTATAGGTAATGACTTAGAAAACAATAATCCTACAACTCTTACATAGAATTTGGTTCTTGCTAGTTGTTAGTGGCTCATACTTGTAATCCTAGCTACTTGGAAGACTGAGATCTGAGAATCAAGGTTTGAAGCTGGAAATAGGGTTGTATGTCTCAAGTGTATTAGCCTTGAGCAAAAAAGCCAAGTGAGAATGTGAAGCCCTAAATTCAAGCCTTGGTACAAGCAACAAAAAAATGTGTTTTTTGTTTGTTTTTGGTGTATTTTGTGTTGTGGGTCATGAAGCTGTGTGCTCTGTCCCTGAGCTCTTTTTATTCGAGGCCAGTACTCACTATATCACAGCGCTGTCCCTCAGCTCTTCAGCTCAAGGCAAGCGCTC